TTAATTTAATTTTATATGCTATTGATAAAAGTGTAGAAAGAAGTGAGAGCTCATATTTTAGCAAGTTGATCATATATGTAATGATCTGTATGCTGTTGTATCTTACACATGTTGCCTTTCTTTGAAGAGAGAATAAAATAAAATTGTAAAAATCCCAGTACAATGAAAACAAACCAATACAAGAGCAAGGCTCCACTGAAAATCTCCCAGACCTGCTGATCCATCTTCTAAGGTGGAGAAGGGGAGCAGACCTGGCTCCAATGCATGCCAAGATATCTGCTCAAGTGAAATGGGGAAAATTCCTCAGAAACTGGTTTTGGTTTCAAGCCATGGTTTGGGGTCTGTCAGAGAGATGAGTGAAGTTTTGAGGCCAGATTTATAGTTTGCTCAAACTGGTTTGATCATCCCTACTAGAAACTTATTTCTGGTGATCCTTTCTATCATAAACTGAAATATTATTTAAATGACAAATCTGCTTCCCTTACTAACACTTGTAAATGTTTTCTGCTCTAATTGAAATTGGTGTTTTCAAGGATTGATAATGCCCTCTGATTAGCAGATAGGTTTAAATGACATCATTTGTAATTTAGATGTTACCTCTCTGCTTTTTACAACTATTGACGGTATGAGCATTTTTTCAGCAGTAAAGAAAGATCTTGGCATCTTGGTTGACTTAGAAAGGTACCTTTGTGAAGACTCATACACTGCTTGAGTTTTGAACAGTGAGGTGTTTCCCTGTGCGCTAAATATTCTTTAGAGCAACCCCAGAGAACATTTTCTGTGTTCCTGAAGGCTGTAGACTCATGTTCAGAAAGAATAGAGGATCAATTGAAGCTTTGTGAGTGTTCAGCAGAAATAGAGTACTCTACAAACTAAAGAAATTAACATTTATGTTGTAAAAATATTTAGACTTACAGCCCCTTACCCTCTTCCTTTCTGTAAAAATTGTTTTTATCACACATAAAGATGTAGCAAATAGGTATAAAAGATGGTACAGACAGCCATAAAAAGAACAATTAACAAATTATTCTATTCATTTGCCATTCCCAAAGAGTAACAAATTATTCTTCAACAGATAATTATATTATCTGAGAATCATCAGATGCAAATAGCTATCCAAAATTATCCTCCATTGTATATACGGTAGTTTTATTGTTTGTTACAAGCATAATTCTCTGTACCTTTTCCTCACACAATCACTTTTCTCTTGTTATCCAAGCCTCAAAAATAATTTCAAAATCTCTGAATGTGAACAAGAATTCTCTCCCTAATTAGTAGTCATGAATCACATTTTCCAAATGATCTTTAGCAGTTATTTTTCTGCAGCACTCCAATCTATACCCTTTCTCTCCTTCAGTCTTCCTAGTCTGGCCTGCTTCCCCTTTCTCTCCTTCAGTCTTCCTAGTCTGGCCTGCTTCCTGCGATCATTCTTGTCTGTAATAACTATCTTGTTCAAGTAACAGCATTATCTGTAAGAACTAGGCATTTCATACATGTTTTTTAATGCTACTTGGAACAGAAGTCTCAAGTTTTTACTGTTACTTGATTTGCACTTTATTATCCCTCATGAAAGCCACCACACAGTGCTTGGAATTACTTATATTTTACCACTCCCTCTTATGGTTTCATTTTTCTATTTCTGTATTGTGTGAATGGGCTGGCAGCGAACATTATCAGGTAAAATCTATAGGATTTAATAACTCAGATCCCAGCATCTTTAAATCTGGTTACCTACAGTTAGGCTCTTAAATCTCTATTGAGGCACATGAATTAAAGTGATCTGATTTTTCAGAAGTCCTGAATACCCTCTGACTTCAGAGGGAGCAGTAGGTGTTAAGTAAGATTTTGTCTCACTCATTTTTAGTAAAAGTCATGGGAACCCTACCCCTGGCACGCAAGGCTGTTGCCTGTTGGTAGAACTCTGCAGGGGGACCCTGAGGAGGCTGTCACCCGTCGCTGGAAACCTGCTGGGGCCCCGCCCAGTCCCTTGGCCCCAGGAGCTGAAGAAGAAAATGTCAAGGAGGTCTCTGGAAGTCACAGATTATGTGACCTCCATGACATAATGTAGCCTTATTGTTAATGGTGACAATTTTATACCTATCCATGCATGAGGCCCTTCTGCTGTCCTAGGTTGGACGCTGTAATACACGTTTGCTGGCAAACTATAAATTGGGCTGTGTGGTTTCTTCCACATTTGTTTTCCTTGGCAACTAACTCACACTAACAAAAATGTATATATCATACATTTCCTTCTTGAATTAAAGGGTAGTGAGTGTGTGAGTGTGTATATGTGTGTGTGTGTATATATATATACACACACACACACGAGGGATAATAAAGTGCAAATCAAGTAACAGCAAAAACTTGAGACTTCTGTTCCAAGTAGCATTAAAAAACATGTATGAAATGGGTGTATTTTATATATATATATATATATACACAACAAAAAAACCCCACAGTAACTTCCAGGGACAATTGGGGCAAAATCTGTGACTCTTCTTTGAGAAGGGGATTAGGTTTATGGTGGTTTCTAATTCTCAAGCCAGTATTAAACATAGTTCTTCTAAGGGTTTCAGAGTAGCAGCCGTGTTAGTCTGTATCCGCAAAAAGAAGAACAGGAGTACTTGTGGCACCTTAGAGACTAACAAATTTGTTAGTCTCTAAGGTGCCACAAGTACTCCTGTTCTTCTTCTTATTCTATATGGTTTTAAGAAATGTAAATACACAATTTTGTCCTTTTCCACTTGGCAAACACTTCTCCCACCCCACCTCCCAAGTACATCCATCTAGTGCTGCATAATTCAAAATGGCTCCGTTTTACTTCCTTGTGTGTATACCAACATCACAGCTCTGTTAGCAAGTACTTATAGGTTTGAAATGAGTGTGTGTTAGTTAACTGGTAACAAAGCCTGGGTGGTGAAGGTTAGAGAGCCATGATGCGGTTCTGTGATGGTCCTACGTACATATTAATTTTTAAATAATGCAGACCATTTTGCTCCCTCATTGCATCGTGTGGAGAGCAGCATATGCTGCCCACGTGGTCACAGTGCACAGAACAAAGGCACTGGCCACTATCTATCATGCTCTCTCCTACAGCGGAGTCAGCAGCTGCACTCTCTCTCTACTCATGAGTAAATCATATTTGGTGCTCTGATGATTTCAGAAGGGGACCAGCAGAGAAATTGCTCTAGGGTACACTCTCCACCCAAAATGAAGTGGTTTTTGTAGGGAAGTCCAGCAGAAATTAGTCCACAGAATTACCTTCCAATCCAGCTTCTGCCCTTTGGAAGAGGAGGCAGTGTGCAGGTAGATTGGGGAAGCCCAAGAGCAATCTAGCCCCTAGGCTAGCTCAAGGGAAGAGAGTCTTGGAAAGGGTGCAAAGAAAGAGGTACTCTGCATGGATATGCTGGGGTTGGGCCCAGGCTTGCCTGTGGATTATCAGGCTCCATATGAATGTGAGGCCATTCCTAAGCCCTTATCCCTGAGAGATCAGGGAGGGTTTTCTGTGCGGTGAAATACACAGATTTTTTTTTTCTCCTTTTTCCACATTTTTGCTAGAAAGGGGAGGTGGCCTTTTCCAGTGCACTTTGATAAGCTAAGCATTTAGAATGGAGAGAACAATCCCACTCAGTTTTGTATCTGTGCTATTTGGCTGCTTTCCTTGGTCAGTAACCCTTGTAACTTCTCTACCATGTTACTTTTTCCTTCCTCCACAAGTCAAATCCTGGTCTCAATGAAATCAATTGAGATTTCGCCATGGACATCACTGGGACCAGAATTTGATCCTAAATGCTTACTATAACAAAATAACCAATAAGACCTTGTTTATGGAAACTGATTATATTTTACAATATGGGAAGGTGAGCTAAATCAGCACTGTAACTGTTGACTGAAGTTTACTTGTTTAGGGAAACTGCATCTGGATACATTAAGGGAATCAGGCTGGAAAACAAAGCAATAGAAATTAAATCAGCTGCATATATAGTTTCTTAAACTTTGCTGCTGGTGCATCACTAATACTAGGTTTCAGAGCTGCAGCCGTGTTAGTCTGTATCCGCAAAAAGAACAGGAGTACTTGTGGCACCTTAGAGACTAACAAATTTATTAGAGCATAAGCTTTCGTGGACTACAGCCCACTTCTTTGGATGCATATAGAGTGGAACATATATTGAGGAGATATATATACACATATACAGAGAGTATGAACAGGTGGAAGTTGTCTTACCAACTCTGAGAGGCCAATCAGAGTTGGTAAGACAACTCCCACCTGTTCATACTCTCTGTATGTGTGTGTGTGTGTGTATATATGTTCCACTCTATATGCATCCAAAGAAGTGGGCTGTAGCCCACGAAAGCTTATGCTCTAATAAACTTGTTAGTCTCTAAGGTGCCACAAGTACTCCTGTTCTTTTCACTAATACTATGATAGTCTGCCTGTGAACCAGCTTTGTCATATTCGATATTGCCTCAAATATTTCTCCAGCTCCTACTTGCCCTACAAAAACAGGGCCTGACTTTGCTTCGTGGAAGTCTTTAGGAACGTTATAATTGACTAATAGGAGCAGCCCCCTAGTGGGAATTTGGCCTTGGGATTGCAGGATCAGCCCCAGAACTGAAAAACTGACAGGCAGCACAAACAGTGTGAAGACAAATTTACAAACACCAGCCAAAGCTAAAAAACACCCTTCAATAAGCCTGTGATTGATATAGGGCCCAATCCACCTGCCGTTGACCTCAAGGAGAGCAAGTTCAGGTCCTTAGTCTTTCAGCCCAAAGCAGGTGAAAGACTGACAATCACATCCAGCTGGTGCAGCATGGCACTAAAATAAGGCTGGGTTATTCAGTATGATTGACCGCCTTGCCTCATACATCCCATTCAGAGCGTAACGATCACAAAACAATATTTGGTGAATGCCTCTTTCTCACAATTACATCTCCTTTGCAATACTGCCTCAGTCTGCTACGTTTTATTTACTTGTATAAAATATTTGGACCTGACAAAGGAAATATTAAATTTTTATCAAGTTCATTACAAAGTTTATCGTATAAAATGCCAAAAACGTCAAGCCATATGTACAAAATGTATTGGTTTTAAGAAAATAATTGGACCCTATCATATAACAAAACAATTTTATACAAAAAGGTATACGACTGCATTCAAATCAATACAAACAAAACTAAAAAAAAGTCTTGAAATGTCTTGCTCAAAGAAGATAGGGTTTCTTTAAAATCACAGGCTTACAAAGTCATGGCAAATGGTCTAGCATTGGTCACCATTTCATGAGAAATGTGCACTGCTTCAACAGAAAGTGCTTTCTGCAAGTCACCGGTGAGCTCCGTACTTTGAAGACCAGTCAGTGCGTCCATGGATTGGCTGAATTGGCGGTGGACGCGGCATTAATGCTGGTGTGCTTTTTGAAGGTGTATTAAATGATGGCCGCCCAATATGAGGTCTGACAGACTTCAGAGAGGCGTAATCTACAAACGAGAAGAAGAAAAGCCATTAGATAAAGTTTCAGTGACTGTGTGACAGGGTGCTGGGCTGGAACCCCTGAGCCTGGCCTCTGCCACACCAGCCCCAATCCAGGGAGGTAAACTGGAGCTGGCTAGAGAAACCTGTGTCTGATTGGCAAAGGGGAAAACAGCTGCCAACCAAATTAGCCGTGGCTATATACAGGCCCGGAGGAAGGGAGGCAGAGAGTGGAAGGACAGGGGTAACTCTTTCCTCCTGGCTGAAACCTGCAAGCTGTATGTGGTGGGATTGCACCCTGTAAATAAACTGCATTGGTGACTGTTGAGCCAGAAGGTCTCTGAGTGGTTTTTGGAACACAGCAGAGGCAGGAGCAAAGGAGGCCCTGTTACAGACTGGCTCAACTGGAGGAACTGCTCCTTTAAAAAGCCCCTGGAAACTCTCTCTGTTAGAAGCTGCAACTTTAGAGCCAATTTGTATTTAAAAAAATAAAGTAAAAAATCAGGATATGTGAAATAATAATACCGTGAGACATTAGCCAAGATCGCTACTCAGGCCAGATTCTCTACTGTGCCTGGTATCTGCTGGATACAGCAAGAGATGGGTTGCAAAGGAACCAATTTGCAGCTTGCTGATTTTGGGGCCAGTTCTATGCCTCACCCCAGCATACTTTAGAGCAGCCTCAATGCTGCCCTAAAATATCCTCACTAGATATGACCACAAAGGGCTACCTGCTAGCAGAGAATAACTGGAGTAGACCTTTCACTGGAGGCTGCAATGGAGGGGTGGTATAGAAGTGGATTACTCAGGTTTTGTGCCATCAGTAGAGTCCCCATGACAAGGGAATCCCAAGCTGAGGAGATCTGGTTATTCTCCAGCCCGTTTGCGTTGCCAAAAGGGGTACAGGAGGGATGGAGCAGAATGTGAATCTGTGTCCCAGTGTTTACTCTGTCCTTACTCAAGCGAAAAATAAATTCAATTTTCTATAATGAATAGACAATTTAGTGTGGGGTTTTTGAGACTTGTGCTCCTAAATCACTAAGGTGCTTCTGAAAATCCCACTGTGATGGGGCGTTGACCCACACTGGCAGAGAAGGGGTTAAAAGCAGCCTAGGGAGGCTGCACAGGGAGCGGCCAATCTGGGCCCAGCAGCCCCATATTAAAAAGGCCATAGGGCAGAGCAGTGTCAGCCTCTGCCTGGAGCTCAAGGGGTGAAGTCTGTGTCTCTAGCAGGTAGAGAGACCTGTGGCATGGTGGACAAAGCAACTGCTGGGAGGTACTGGAGGAGCAAGAGGAGCTCCTGGCTGGTTGCTGAGACTGAGTAATTGCAGGCCCTGATGAAGGGTGAAGAAGGTGCTGGGGCTATAGAGATGTGGCCCGGGGAGACATAGCAGTGGTGAGTGATGTGCACTGTCACACCCACCCTTGGTGGTGGTAATAGCTGTGCATTCTGGGAAGGCTGTGTTGTGGAGTACAGGCTATATGTTTGTTTAATCGGTAAAACTGATGTTTTATAACAGTTTAAAGAAGTCAGACTAGACTTAATCCTGCAACCCTTGTAACAGAAGTAAGTGTTGCAAGATCAGGACCTATAGTTCTAGTGACTCACTTCTTTACAATACAGTCAAATATAAAAACTGCGTATTACAGCAGCTACAGACAGTAACTACAGACACTAGTTGACTAATATGATGGCTAGCATGCATCATAGATTATCAGGGTTGGAAGGGACCTCAGGAGGTCATCTAGTCTAACCCCCTGATCAAAGCAGGACCAATCCCAACGAAATCATCCTAGCCAGGATCATCAAGCCTGACCTTAAAAACCTTTAAGGAGGAGATTCCACCACCTCCCTAGGTAACCCATTCCAGTGCTTCACCACCCTCCTAGTGAAAAAGTTTTTCTAGATATCCAACCTAAACCTCCCCCACTGCAACTTGAGACCATTACTCCTCGTTCTGTCATCTGCCACCATTGAGAACAGCCTAGCTCCATCCTCTTTGGAACCCCCTTTCAGGTAGTTGAAGGCTGCTATCAAATCCCCCCCCTCATTCTTCTCTTCTGCAGACTAAACAATCCCAGTTCCCTCAGCCTCTCCTCATAAGTCATGTGCTCCAGCCCCCTAACCATGTATCATAATATGCATTATCCTCACCATATATTAGTATACATTAAGCACAAATATTGTAACAGTGATATAGCCTAAACTGGCCTAGATCACAATCCTGTTCACTTATGCTAAGTATCCCATAACACCTTGCATTAGCTGAGGTAAGCTTTGGCTTAAGTAGATAGGAAAACTGACAGTATCAGGACATATAATTGTTTCCTCATAGCCACAGAAAGGGAGTTACCCTCAGACCTATTTATCTTGGTACAGGCCTAGGAGGGGTCTTCACACCCCTTAGTACCTGGAATGCATGCACCCAGAACAAAGATAAGGGTGCATCCTGACCTGGAATGTGTGGGTTCAGAATAAAAGATAAAAGGGTACATCATGGTACCAGAAACAAGGTAAAAAAGCTGATTAATTGAATCTAGTTTCAGGTGACATATGTAGTACCTTTTTATTGGTAAACAAGCACAGTATAAGAAGATGGCTTTCGGAATGCAATTTTGAGGAGCTGAATGTAATGTCGCTGCACAGGACTGCTCTTTGGAGACTGGTATCATATAGAACCTGTCTCCTGTATCATATTAATAAACCTGACTGACATTAGTTATTTGGTCTCTTGAGTATATTCCATAACGAAATAAAATGTGGTCAAGCAATTTTAACTATACAGTTTATCAACAGACAGCATTATTGCCCTAACGAGTAAACAGCCAAGCTCAGAGTTACACTTACTAGAAGATGGATCTGCAATTGGTGCTAACTGAACCCTCTGCCCAGCAGAGCCTAGTTCCTTTTTCAGAAATGAAGGGATATAACCACCCGTCAACCTGCTCGATCCTGAGTGCCCTGAAAGAATTTGTAAATGATGAGAAACACTTAAATCAATGTGCAATGGAACACACACACACCTCCACCCCACCTTCCTGCAGATATTGTCAAGGTATTTCATAGATGGTGCATTGGTGGGGCACACTGAAGACTGGACCAAATTTTTACCTGGTGTAAGTCAGTTAATGGAGCTATGCTGATTCACACCAGCTGCGGATCTGGCCTGTTACGTACTTATCTGGAAGGCTGGCACCATCACACTGCATGAAAGTAAGCCCTGGTCTGCACTTGGCAGTAAGGTTGACACAACTACAGGCTAAGCGCCACACCTATACCGACCTAACCGCCAGCATAGACACAGCTAGCTACCACTGCTTGGGGAGGTGGAGTTCCTATAGCAATAGAAACCCCTCACCCCCCATCTGTCACTGTAGGAAGTGTCTACACTATGGCACTACCATAGTGTAACTATAGTGCTGTACTGTGCTGCTATAGCACCAGTTGTGTAGACGTGGCCTCGCAGAGAAGAGACATAGCTGAGGGGGCCCAATTCCTGCAGTCTTTCCTTAGAGCTGATCTTAAATGCGCTGAGCATCTACATTAGGGGCTTTTTATTACTGTGTAAGATTAGGCCCTTTATTACTAGGCAAAATTCTCATTGAAATCAGTGAGTTACACCACAATAATGGGAGCAGGAATGTGTCCCAAAACAGAATTGGGTGAACAGATTTTTTGATTTGCTGTTTAAGAATAATTAAAAAAAAAGTGTTTCAACCTGAAACATGTTTTGTAATTTTTCAGCAAATCAAAGTATAAAAAAAAATCTGTGTTAATGTTTCAGTAATATAACAACTTTTTCAGGCCTTCGGACACAAGCAGGCGGAGGATTTGTTGTGGTGACAGCTCCTGGATAAGCTTTGGCCTAGGGCACTCACCTCAGATGCGGGACACCTGGCTTCAATTCCCACTTCTGCTTGATGTGGAGAAAAGATTTGAACCTGGTTCTCTCCCATTGCAGGAGAGGGCCCTTGCCAGTGGGCCATGGGATAGTTTAGTATGGGGCCTTTTCAGGCTCCTCTTGAAACTATTCCACTTTTTATAAATAGTAACTGGAGCAGGAACTTGAACTGTGGTGAGTGCCCTGTCTATCAAACTGCAGAGTCATTCTCTTTCCCTGGCTAGTGACTGACTATCATTTAGAGTGGTAATTTATAGTAATTGTTTAAATTTAAAAAAAAAAAAAAAGGAAAGAACTCCCTCATTATTTACTACAAA